AATCAATGTTTTCGTCTGTTATTGACGTGCTCGGGCGTCCGGCACGCTCTTCGTCGTTCACATCTTCTCGGCCCTCTGAGAACATTTTGTACCACCGATAAACGTTGCTTTGGTTCAAGGGTAGCTTCACCATATGCCACAGTCAACATTCGGAATGCGTCCGCGCACTTAATTTTGTTTTTCACACAAAATTTGATACATATTCTTTGATCCATTTCTTGGAATAGGCAAAAATCGAAGACGAGCCAGAACACGTCCAAGCAAAATAGCTGTCCAAAATTAACTGAACATTCAAAATGGCCGAACTTGTCAGCATGAGTGAGGGACATGAGTACCAACATAACGCCACAAAAAATCGAAAATCGAATATACGTAGCCCGCGGAAATTCAAAATTCGCGATACTTTTTGAACAGACCTCGTATCTACGAGCCAGTGAGATCAAGATCGGTAAACGCATGGGCGAATCCTTAATCAGTTTATGCGACGCCAACGTTACAAGTGGCAAAATTTTGATTCAATAACTTGCGATAATGTCGGCCCACGTTTGGTGACGTAATCAAGCCTAGTTCGGTCTCCTTATACAGGCTTCATGGCCGCGACTCATCGATGAAACCGCGGCGGGCAACGAGACTTGCTCGGCTGTGTTACAGCGCGACGACTCGGGACGAACGACGAGCGGACGGCGCTGGCGTGATGTCATTAACGCGACGATATCTACCGCGCGGCCCTGACAATAACTCGGTAATGTCATATCGCGAATTTTACTGCCCCCCCCCATAATTCACGGCATGCACGCTGTCGCGTGTTTCGCATGCGGGGCACGCGCTTTATGCCGCCATCCAGATGGGCGGTAGTCGGTCGTGCCGTCTGCTAAACGATAACTGCCGATTCCGCGGGTCTCCTTAAGACCTCGTCGAACAGGCATCGGCACGCCATCGACTTCGGAATCGCTTGAAAATTCGGAAATAGTTTCTCGGCGGCACGTAGAACCACTCTCTCTCTCTCTCTTTCTCGCGCGCGCGCTCGCTCGCTTGCGCGAAGAGGCCAAAGAAAAAGACAGCCGTGCAGCCTTCGCTTTCTTAGATTTCTACGTGTCTTTCTTCCTCCCGTTCTTGCTCGCAAGTTGTGCTCGAGAAGGCAAGCTTGGAATTCCGAGCTGACTGCAAAGTTTTTAACTAAGTTTGGCGGTTGCCCGCGCGCACACCGGCTCTCGATGCCGATTGCCGGGCGCTGCCTTTCATGCCGATTCTTCTGGGGGTTCGCCCGTCGACGTACCTTCTTTGCGAAAACTTAACTGAGAAACGGTCGGCAATGAGGAAACATTTGAGAACGATTGACCCGCTCGCTTGGCGAAGTCGGTTTTAACCCTCGTTCGTTGTACGCGGCGGTAGTCGCCTGTTGCGGACAGGCAAGGAATTGCGAACGGCAGATAGTTTTACATAATGATAGCCCGTCGCAGTTGCTCGTCTAGGCGCGTACATTGTTCTAAAGAAGAGTAATTTGTAGGTGGATTGGTGAGCTCTTTGAATAAAGTATTTTTAGCTTATAGCGTATGGAGAGCGTATTACCTGTGTACTGAGAACGTATTACCTATGTACGTTCTGGCCTGACCTAGTTGGGTGTACTCTAACAATAAGTATTACAACTACGGAGCGCGAAATTTTGTCCACGCTTGTTTGTCGCAGCCAGTCGCGCCGCTTTGTTCCGAAGAATTTGCCACGTTGCATTTTCATTAGGATTATCCCATCTGTGTGTTTCGATTAGTTTTCCCGCTCGGCCATTGGAGTTTGTAAATCGTTTCTTCCCGAGGCACGCCGGCCGACCGTTTCCACTCCAATACGAGAAGTATCCGAGTATCCGACAGTCGACACTCGCCGAGGCGGAGGTACGAGAGACGCTAGCGATGCAATGAGATAGGAATTTCATAATTAAGTTATCAGCTGCAGCTATTCCGACAGCCAATTATCGTCAACGCCGGACGTGGGTTCTACCTTCCCTTTTTACTTTTTAAACGGCCGGCCCGGCACTCGGCTCCAAGGCTCGGAGGATCGCCGTCGATGGACGCCGATGAACGGACGGGGGATGAAGCCGGTGGGAGGCCGCGGGGGCCGTGGCGCGGGGCGGGCGCGGGCTCGATCGAGTACTCTTTGAAGTCGAACCGAAGGAAAAAAAGATGGAAATAATTAAAAGCATTGAAAGCTTTCCTGAACGCCATTAGGGGCATTGACACTTGGCAACGCCTGCGCCGGGAATGAAAACGGCGAAACCTCCGCGTAGAATTGCACCCTCTGTCAGAGATGCAAACGTTTTAAAAAGAGTTCCTTCCTCCGCACATCTCTTCTATCCCCCTCCCTCTCGCCGTTCCGGTCCTTTTTCTATTTCTCTCCCTCCCTCCCTCCCTTCCTCCCCTTTCCATCCCTCTCGTACGTTTGTCAGAACGAATCGCGGGCACGTGCGGTAACACACCTTTTTTGCCAGCCTGAAGTTTTTAGTGCCAGTTCCATAATTAAACTTGCGTCTCGCTGTTTCTCCGTCTGTCCGTCACTCCTTTCTCACGTAACCAGGGAGGGGGGGAAAAAAATACGGCGGTGACGTTGACGAGCAGCGCGCACCTCTTTATTTGTGTTACGTGATCGTCCCAGCGGGATTTCTTAATTCTTGCCGGCCGCGAATGGCAACGATCGTTTTCTTTCAAGTGTCGGATAGCGTTTTGATTTGCGGGAGCAAACGAATCGGTGCTTTCGGCAAGTTATTTGAAATACGGCACGTCGGGCTGAATTAATGTAAAAGGGCGACGAGAGGATCTACACAATGTGCACTCGATGAATTAACAAATACCCTTCCGACCGTGTAATGCGTATTTATCATTATTAAACTTGTCCCTACCGGTGCGTGGCCGGCTTTTTCTCCGATTCCCCCCCCCCCCCCCCTCGTCATTCGATAATGATTTAACGCGGTTTCGGACGGAAATAAAATTATTACTCTTATTATTATCATCACCGTAATTATCGTTGTTGCGGTTCGAGTGATTCGACGGTTTGTCGAAATATAAATTTCATGTCTTTTAATCGCTCGCGCATATATTACAAGAAAATAAGTAATACCGAAAACGTGGAAATCATCATTTAGCATGCAAATTGATGAATAATTACTTCACGGAATGACATTTTATGCGATATAAATATTCTTTTGAAAAAGTAAGCTGCTTGCGAGATATTAAATTTCTATCATTTTACAAAAACCGGAATTTGTGTATTAAAGCCCGCGCATTCATATTCATATTTAATCGAAGGCAACCGTTATGTGCGCGGTAATGTACGCAATGTATACGCGTTCTCCTCGCGTCGTAAACAAAATAATCAGCAAAACGTCATGTTTTAGCAACTCCCATTACTAAGCCGCTATAACCGCGTAGCGATGTGAATGAATATATACGCCTGGTATTAGTGCCTGCAACCAACAAACGAAGCCCGAGAAAGCTGCTCGTTATTATATAACGAGAGCTCGTTATAACGTTGAAAACCATCGCGAAATTGGGTATAACTTCTGCTTCAACTTGCGAGATAGGCGCCGAAGTTGGTGGAAGCGTTGCATTCCCCAAGACTTCTGATGTTAACAACTGAATCAATTACTATATAACGCAATATGAATTAAGACGACTTCAAGACTTGATACTTTACAGAAAAATTATTGTTATACAGATAATTATTGCAGTCTGCTCTTTTTGCAATGCACACCGGAAAAGTCACGGAAAGCGTAGCGTGCACCTTCGCATATCACTCGCGCAAATCCTCAAAGTTTGTCGCTGACCCGAATCTATTTACAAGTTTCCAATTAATCAGACGCTGCGCTCGCGCAGAGAGGATCTCAGAGCTTAAAAATAGCGACGCACAATTATCGCGTTAGGTCAGCGATGGGCTGAGTTTATTTTTTCGAAATTTGTCACTTTCCTATTTCTCGCCGCGCAGGAATCTTTCATCAATACGCCAATATCTTGGAACTCTACGCGGCATTTCATCCTCGAGGTATCACATCTGAAAATTGACGTGCGCGACGTCTTCCGCGTTCGCCGGGAATTTCGGAAATATCGACGGTCCGTCTTGTTACCGCGACTCCGATGGAGGAGTCTTATTCCGACGCTCGGGGCCCCAAAGCGCCGAGCTGAGGACCGCCGAGATCAATTTGCACGGCGTTGCGCGTGACAGCGCCGCCAGCGAGCCAATTCGCGCGGGTACAGTAATTAAACTGCGGTTTAGCGTGACCGGAGCACCTGCCGTTACCAAATTGCAAGTTATGCCGCGTGTCACTCAGCGGTGCGAACTCCTGTCAGCGCCCGCGCGCGCGCGTACGGAACTTTCCAATTCCCTTAAACTCATTCTCGTAATGTACAGGTGCATTATTTCACATTTTTCGAGAGATAGTTGCAGCGTTGACGGAACGTACAGGAGGAATACAAATTTGCGTACATCAGGGGGAAATTGCTTTTAGAAAATGCGTCACGCATTCACTGATCTATTTACTCGGCGCGACGTAGATTAATTCGAAACACAGTTATCTCGCGAGATGCAATTGGATTCTTCACGATCAGACGGCGTTATCACCGATTCGTTATTATCGTCGTCACGGCAAGCGCGCCGCGAGAGGTGCCGGTTCTGCGATATTCACCGTCGCACTTCGATATAGACTCTATCTCCGAATAAATCTGTAATTTGTTGGCCATGGGTCGCTCTTAGGGAAAACCCTTTAATCTCCACGTTCCATTTTCCGAATATTCCATTAGGTTTCTCCCTCTCCCGCAACCTCTCTCTTTCTCTCCGTCATTCTCTGTACCCCTGTCGCCGATTCTCTTTTTTTCGTCTCCGCTCTCCGTCATGCCCGGCGGCTTCGGCAGCGCCTTCACGCGTCACTCCGTAGCACGAGGATTTGCGGTTGCCACGACAATTGATTTACACGCAGACACGCGCCCGCGTTTCACCGACGCGCGCGCACACCGACGCGCGTTACCGGCGCACGTGTGTGTGTGCACGTGGTACACACAGCGATGTATCCCCAGCATCTCCGGCCCGGGGAATCACCCTCTCCGTCGATCGTGTACAATCCGTAATTGTTGTTCCACCCCGTTGCTTTAGCCGAAGATTACAACACGATCTTTCAGGGAATTGGGATTCCCGGCCGCCGCCGCCGCCGCCGCCGCCGCCTCCGCCACCTCCGCCGTCGCATCCGATGAGAATCGAATCGGACTGTCGTTGTCGCGCCGGAATCCGATTGGACGACAGGAGAGACCAGGAATAATAGATGTGGCTAACGCAATGCGATTTGGTAAGCGGCGATTTCGATCCCGGGGAAACGCGGAAAACTGTAATATCTGAAATCCGGCGGATGTGTCGAGCACAAATCGTAGTCCCCTCCCCGTGTGTTTCTTGCTGATCCTCTTGAAACGCGCGAATGAAAGAGAGCGGGCGTGTCGCGCGGGGAGAACAGCGAAAACTCGATAAGGGGGAGGACGCGATCTTTGATAACGCGGGCTGTACGCCGAGACGGGCGATGGTGTATCGAAGAAAAACCGCGTCGCGTTA